CAAGATCGAATAGATCTGGAAATGGATCATTTTAATACGCAAACGATCATGGCACGTCGTCGACGCGGCCTTTACGGTCTTTCGTCGAACAGCGACCTGACGTCGTCGCGAGATACGTCACGCACGCCTCGGACACGACGGTCGCATCGTTCGACAAAATCAACGCCGTTATGGCCGTCGAAAGTCGATCGTTTTGTGCTTTACGTCTGCTGATCCGCCCGTCGAAGGACGACGACGAACTCCTTCGAAAAGAAAGTCCGACACGTCACCCCGACGGGCCGCTATCGCGTCTCCGGATGTCGCGTACGCCGGATCGTACTCGAAACGAACGAACGTTACGTAAGTCGTCTCGACATCGACCTCCAACGGCACGCGTCTAAAAAACATCCAACTCGCTCCGACGAACGCCACGCTTTCTCAAACGAGGCGAACCGAGCAGTCTTTGAAATTGACACGACCCTCAGCCAGGAGTGGTCCGGGAACAGTTTATCCGAGGACCGCAATGTGCGTTCGAAATGTCGATGTTCATGTGTCCTGCAGTTCACAAGTTGACGCGCAATTAGCTGCGTTCTTCATCGACCCACGAGCCAAGTGATCCACCGTTCAGGGTAATCTTTTAGAATATACATTAAGACGCACGTTCTCTCCGGCTCGCCTCGCGACGGCCTGGAACGTTCTGCGTCGAAATTCTCTCGGTTTCGATTGTTTATTAAGATAAAAAAAGAAAAAAAAAGAAAAGAGAAACTTTCGAACGACGTGTCGTCTTACTAATTCCATCTTTTCCTCTCTCTCTTTTTTTTTTGTTAGTCGCAAGACTTGATCTCCTTTTCTAAAGCAGAAGCTCAACCGCACAACGATCACTTAACCAAACAAACTAGGTGTGATTTCGTCAAACGGCGCTTCCTAGGAGCGTCTCGAACGACGTTTCGAATCGTCTCGACGAGAACGGCGGCATCGAGCCGAACCCGTCGGCCGGGCGAAAATCATTTAAAACCCACGGTAACGAAGACGAGCAAAGGCGCACGAAACGCCCCGCACGTACTTACGAAACCTGCGATCCGAATCGAACTCTTTGAGGTTCTTTAGCGGATCAAGGTGCCCGAAATGCCGTCTGCCCGATCGCACGACGAACGCGCGTAAAGGACCGGCGCCGCGAGTTCGCATCGGCATGACGCCTAATCCGACTCTGGACGATTCAATAGTTCGAGGACGTCGCGTGACGCCGTCTCTTAGACGCGTTTCCTCTTTCGCACCGATCCCCACGTGGGACGAGAGAAGAGAAGAGAACGCGCTTCGGAAACGCGCGACGGCACCGCTAAAGGCTGGACGTGCCGTCGTCTACGCCGCAGACGTCTTTAGATGTTAGATCGAGCGTGTACGTCGTCCACGGACGCGACATACTTCGCACGACAACAACAACACGATCAGACGATGGTGTGTGTGTCTGTGTAAAGACAGTGCGTGTGTTCGAGACACGTTAATGATCCTTCCGCAGGTTCACCTACGGAAACCTTGTTACGACTTTTACTTCCTCTAAATGATCAAGTTTGGTCATCTTCCCAGCGACATCGGCGACGCCGAAACGCCACCGCGTACCGGTCCGAAGACCTCACTAAATCATTCAATCGGTAGTAGCGACGGGCGGTGTGTACAAAGGGCAGGGACGTAATCAACGCGAGCTTATGACTCGCGCTTACTGGGAATTCCTCGTTCATGGGGAACAATTGCAAGCCCCAATCCCTAGCACGAAGGAGGTTCAGCGGGTTACCCGGGCCGCTCGGCCAGGGAGGACACGCTGATTCCTTCAGTGTAGCGCGCGTGCGGCCCAGAACATCTAAGGGCATCACAGACCTGTTATTGCTCAATCTCGTGCGGCTAGAAGCCGCCTGTCCCTCTAAGAAGAATTGTTTGTACGCCGACAGTAAAAACCGCGCACGGCCAACGGGCGAACCCGAGACCGGCGGGCCTTTGGGATGTCGAAATACGCCTATTTAGCAGGCTAGAGTCTCGTTCGTTATCGGAATTAACCAGACAAATCGCTCCACCAACTAAGAACGGCCATGCACCACCACCCACCGAATCAAGAAAGAGCTCTCAATCTGTCAATCCTTCCGGTGTCCGGGCCTGGTGAGGTTTCCCGTGTTGAGTCAAATTAAGCCGCAGGCTCCACTCCTGGTGGTGCCCTTCCGTCAATTCCTTTAAGTTTCAGCTTTGCAACCATACTTCCCCCGGAACCCAAAAGCTTTGGTTTCCCGGAAGCTGCCCGCCGAGTCATCGAAAGAACGTCGGCGGATCGCTAGCTGGCATCGTTTATGGTTAGAACTAGGGCGGTATCTGATCGCCTTCGAACCTCTAACTTTCGTTCTTGATCAATGAAAGCGTTTTTGGCAAATGCTTTCGCTTCTGTCCGTCTTGCGACGATCCAAGAATTTCACCTCTAACGTCGCAATACGAATGCCCCCATCCGTTCCTATTAATCATTACCTCGGGGTTCCGAAAACCAACAAAATAGAACCGAGGTCCTATTCCATTATTCCATGCACACAGTATTCAGGCGAAGTTTTAGCCTGCTTTAAGCACTCTAATTTGTTCAAAGTAAACGTGCCGGCCCACCTCGACACTCAATGAAGAGCACCGCGGCGGGATTGAGTTGGGCCGCCCTCTCGAGCTAAGCCCACCGGCAGGACGTCCCGCGGCACGCCAGTTAACACCGCGAACGATGAACCGGCGGCGCGGGACACAGATTCGACTACGAGCTTTTTAACCGCAACAACTTTAATATACGCTATTGGAGCTGGAATTACCGCGGCTGCTGGCACCAGACTTGCCCTCCAATTGATCCTCGTTAAAGGGTTTAGAGTGTACTCATTCCGATTACGGGGCCTCGGATGAGTCCCGTATCGTTATTTTTCGTCACTACCTCCCCGTGCCGGGAGTGGGTAATTTGCGCGCCTGCTGCCTTCCTTGGATGTGGTAGCCGTTTCTCAGGCTCCCTCTCCGGAATCGAACCCTGATTCCCCGTTACCCGTTACAACCATGGTAGGCGCAGAACCTACCATCGACAGTTGATAAGGCAGACATTTGAAAGATGCGTCGCCGGTGCGAGACCGTGCGATCAGCGTAAAGTTATTCAGAGTCACCAAGTTGTACGATGACGGAGACCGCCACCGATTGGTTTTGATCTAATAAAAGCGCCCCTTCCGTTTCCGGTCGGGGCTCTGTTTGCATGTATTAGCTCTAGAATTACCACAGTTATCCAAGTAAATGTGGGTACGATCTAAGGAACCATAACTGATTTAATGAGCCTTTCGCGGTTTCACCTTAATTCGGCTTGTACTGAGACATGCATGGCTTAATCTTTGAGACAAGCATATGACTACTGGCAGGATCAACCAGGGAACTGCGTTCTCGTTCGGATACTCCGAAACTGAAAACTACACTTTCGTCGAAAGCGCGAGTGCGTGTTCGCGAAACGAACGCGTAGGAACGTAACGCCACGCTTAACTCTCTCTTTCGTTGTTTTATATACGAAAAATATCATACATAACGATACCGGTCGAAAAGTTTCGCGAGGAAACCTCCTGCGCCGGTTTAAAAGTTCAAACATTCTCCTCACTCTTCGCTAGATAGAATGCGACGGTGAGACGTGCCGAATTCTTTACAGAATCTGCACACGTTACGAGTATATTATATATTCTCGCTCGGAATGTAGGGAGTTGACGCAAATTTAATAGCTGTTCGATGCAACGAACGACGAATCGTGAAATTCGAACGTACGCCACCGTTTACAACAATGTAAGGTTGATCGCATAAGGACCGCCGACGATGGAACGTCCGCCGCATCCGCGATCTCGCTGTGCTGGACCGTCTTTCGAGGCAAGCTCGAACCCAATGAAGGAACTCAAGGATTCCATGAAATTCTAGGCGCAAACGCTCCGAGAGCCAAGTCTACTTCGGGTCATTTTCGACGGGTGCGATAACTACATTCTCAAAATTATCAACAAGACACACACACATACAAGGTTCGCTCTTATAATCATTAAAGGCACGACCACCAAAAGTAATCGCAACGTTTCGTTCTAAAAAGGTGAACGTATCGTCGTCTCTTTTTGTCGGGTCGGTCTGAATAACATAATAATGTCGTTGTTGAACATTATTTATTACAGAGAGAAACCAATGCGGTTAGCGTCTGCTATCATTTTTAGAGAATACGTAAAAACGCACAGTCTTAGAGACACCGAAGAACGGCCGGAACGTGCTGCGAAATTCATTTCGTCATAAATCCGAATTCCTTTTAAAAGTATTGGATAAGACTCGCAGACAGTCCGTGGTAACGCGAGCGAGAGGATGCAGTCGTTGGTCGGTATCTCGAGAGAACACCTCACACGCCACAACATCACTCCGCTACCTATAATAGCGCGCTTGACGTCGATCGGAGCCAAACGCTGCGAAGCGGCGACAGTGGTACGCGAGCAGGGGCGCGAGACACACCTCTCCCCGTCCGAGGTGCGCTCTGTCGGTGTGATGGCTCTTCGTAAAGAGCGGTTTGAACATTTTTCCACGGATTTTCGCAAGAAAAAAAATACGGCCGCATTGTGTTACGTAATCGAGGTAAGTTAGAATTTTTATTATAGCGATTTAGTTAATTTTAAAATACGTACCCGGTACGGGACGCCGTACTTCATAAATTCCGAACGCCGTACTTCATAAATTTCAAACGCCGTACTTTATAAACAACCAACGCCGTACTTCATAAACGACGAACGCCGTACATGTACTTTTAAAAAAATTTCCAAGTCCGGAGAAACGCCTTACTTTATAAAAGACGAACGCCGTACATGCACTTTTTAAAAATTTTAAGTACGGAAGAACGCCTTACTTTATAAAAGACGATCGACGTATATATAAAATGTTGTAAAATGAAATTTATTATATATGTCGAAATAACTTTCGAGAAGTTTTTTTTAATAAAAACGAGGGAGAATTGAAATAGCTGTAGC